AGCGCCTTCGACGCCTGCCACAACGGCGCGAGCGACGACCGCCGCTGGGTCCAGCCGCCACGTCGGGCTCAGGACCCCAAAGACCACCTCTGCGGCAGCGCGGAATCCGCCTCGGCACACAGCCTGCCGCGCAGCCGCCCGCAGCCCGGCCAGCTCCTTCGCAGGTGGGCGGCCGCACGAGGCGCCGTGCAACCCCGCCGAAGTGCCGGCAGCAGCGCCCAGCATGCATCGGTGTCGGAACTCCAAGGGGAGCCGCCCGATCCGCGCAAACCGCACTCCAGCTGCGCGCGCCCTGGAGCCGGCAACGGCGCAGCGAGGCACCCGGCCCGCGGCGGCGACCACCCCGAGGTCACGGAACTGCCGCCCGGCAGGGATCAGGGGGGTCTGGGCCGCCAGCCATCTGCGGAGCGCCGCGGCGTTCGCGAATTGCCGGCTCTTGTCGCGATTGAGCCGCCAGCCCATGGCGAGCTCGAACTCGGCAGTGATGGCCAATGCGCTGGCGACCGACTCCGCCACCTCGCCGGCTTCGCCCTGGCCGCCCCGCGCCCACAGCGTGAAGTCGTCGACGTAGATACGCCGCCGTAGCCGGTCGCCCAGCTCCCCCGTGCGCCGTTGCCACGGCAGCGTGAGGACGCTCAGGAAGAAAACGGCCAAGGCGCAGCCGGGCAGCAGCCCGCACGCGGGCTGCCATGCCTCGCCGACGGCGCGCCCGACCCGGATCCGGCGCGGAGCCGTGTAGGCCTTCAGGGCTGGGGCCAACACCCATTGAGGGACGCCGGCACGCGCCAGGATGCCCGGCAGGGAGGCCAAGTCGATGTGGTCGTACGCCTTCCGCCAATCGAGCGCCGCCCCGGCGATCGTCTCGGACAGCGCCTCCGCCGCCTCCAGCTCCAGCGCGAGCTCCCAGGCCAGCTCCTCTGCTCCTCGCTGGACCTCCTCGCCGGCCCACCGCAGGCGCCACCGAGCGAACAGGCGGGCCCTGCCTGCCGCCCACAGGCGGTACAAGATGGGCAGGAGCCATATCGGGCGCCTGTCCATAGGGTCTGCGCCGCCCCCGGGCTTCGGGAGCAGGAGGCCCTCCGGCTCCACCAGCTCGCTAGGCCAGCTCCCGCAGGCCTCGATCTCCTCGAACAGCTCGGCGATCCACCCGTGCAGCTCCGGAGGCAGCAAAAGCTCCTTCACGGTCCACCCGTCTAGACCCGGCTTCTTCCGCCGAGGCATGCGGCGAAGCAGCGAGGACACCGTCTCCGCCGTCCAGGGCACCCGCTCGGGGAACGCTGGGAGGCCATCCAAAGCCTGAAGCCACTCCTCGCCCAGCGGCGGCGCCGACTGCCGCTGCCAGAGTGCGCGCCGCGGCCCTTCGAAGTGGCGGAGGCGCGCCGCTGGGCCGCCACGGAGCGCCAGGAGCCAGCTCCGGCTTCCGGCTGCTGCGGCCGCCGCGCCAGCCGCCGGGTCGGGCACCAAATCTGCCTCGAGAATCGACCCGCCTCGGATCCATCGATAGAGACGGCCCTGCGCGTTGGCCAAACTCTCTTGGGCCCAGCGGCGCCATTCCTGCCTGCGCTGGGATCGCGCTGCCGCCTGGGCGGCACGCCATTCGGCCTCCGCATGCTCCAGCAAGGTGGCCGGGAGCTCCACGTCCGGTCGCAGGTCTGCCAGCGCCGCCCGCCAGACCGCATGGTCGGCGTCGGCCTGCCGCAGCGCCATCAGCGTGGACATCGCGACCTCGCGCGCCGATGGGGCCCTCCGCTGCGCGTGACGGAGGCCGCGCAGGCGGCGAAGGCGGAGGAGGGCAGCGTCCGCCTGCATATCCGCGGCGTCGCCTCCCCCCCCTCTCGTCGGCGGCCGATCGGCGGCCGCCGTGGCAGCCGCATGGGGCCAGGGCGGAGCTGCTGGGAGCCCCCGCCGACTCGCCAACCATGCCGCCATGGCCGAGCGGAGCGACTGCCATGCCGCCTCGACGTCGTGCCGCCCCAGCGCGCCGTGGAAGGGCGTGCCGAAGCCAGCGACCACCGTGGCGGCGGCCTCCCGGGCCTCCCGCGCCCCCCAGCCCTCAATGGCATCGCCGTCGAGACGCTGCACGGGGCGCCTCATGAGCGCTCGCTCCGGGGCCGACGCGCGCAACTCCACCCAGAGGGCCGCGTGGGTGGCGAACCCAAGGTCCCACCGGATGCCGACCCGCTCGACGAGCCCCAACGCCTCCGGATTCGCCAGCACGTAGTCCAGCCTCGATGGGGCCCCATCGGAGGGGATGCACGTAGGGCCAGCCGCCGCCAGGAGGTCCCGCCACCCGGCCATGCCCAGCAGGCCCTCCAGGCCCGACTCGGCGACGTTGCAATTCAGGTCGCCTACCAGCAGCGCGGGCGCCCCGCCTAGGCCCCGGAGCCACTCGAGGCCCTCCAGGATCAGGTCGGCGTTGCGCTCCCGGTCGGTCCGCCCTCCAGCGTACCCATAGACGTTGAGGAGGTGGACGGCACGATTCCCTCCCAGGTAAAGTGCCAGGTGCTGGAGGCGGCCCGGGTGCCGGCCAGAGAGGCCCGACATGGCCTTGGCCCGGGCTGAACAACTGCCGGGCGCGTGTGCGGCAGCCAGGAGGTGCTCGCCATCCTGCTCTGGGCCCAGGTGCAGCCGCATCCCGCGGGCACGCGCTGCAGCGGCCGCCGCCGCCGCCTCCAGCTTCGGAATGCGGGCCTCCTGCATGCACCACACGACGGCCTGCGCTGCCAGCGCGCCGCGCCAGCTCGCGCTCCAGCGAGCCACATTGGCCACGAGCACCTTGACCGTGCGGCCTGGGCCAGGGCGCCGCGCCTCCCCGACCCTGACCCCCCTCCAAGGGCTCAGCAGCCTGGGATCCCGGAGGGGCCGGAGCAGCGCCAGCAGCCCCGCGACGCATCCGCAGCTCGCACTCGTGCGATCGCGGCCCGGGCGGTTGCCGGGAGCCTCGCCCGGCAACCTCATGCGGGTGGCGGCCCGGGCGGCGGCCAGCAGCAGCCCCGCGGCACATCCGCAGCTTGCACTTGGGCTATTCGGGTCCTCCACGGCACCACTCACCTGCACGCCCTGGCTGCTGCAGGGTGCCCGACGCCGACGGCTGCGCGAGCGAGGCACCATTATGCACCGCCAGGTGCCGCTGCGGCAAGGCGCGCGCATCGCCGCAAGGGCAGAGTCCGCTGCCCGGCCGGCAGGTGCGCGGGCTGGGCGAAGAGCGGAATGCGGGCCTCTGGGGAGCCTCCGCGGTCCGTGGAACGGGAGCGGTCGCCGTCTTCGGACCCCGCCCGGAGCGGGGAGTACCATCGCGCAGCCCTCGCGCCTGCGGAGGCCGCGCGCCGCCTGCCGCTGCCGAGCGGAGCCGGCGGAGGTCCGGCCTCCCCAGGAGCATCGGCGGCAGGCATGCGCGCATCGGCCGGCGCCGCAGCCGCCGCGCCTCCGTGCAGCCCTGATTCGCCGCCTGGGCCTGCCGCCGCCGCCGCACCACCGGCAGGCCCAACAAGCCCTGCGCCACCTGGCGGCGCCGCCAACACCCCGCGAAGCTGCGCCAGCAGAGCGACCACCGCGGCCTGTGCGGCGGGGGACGCCGCGGCCGCCATCGCCTCGAAGGCCGCATCGAAGCGCGCTGGGCCCGCCTGCGGGCGCAGCGGCTCCTCCAGCGGCGGCCTCGGCCTGCGCCGCCACCAGCGCCTGCTGGGCGGCCGCCTCCTCGGCCTCGGCGTGCACCGCCTGGGCCTCCATCGCCGCGGCAGCCTGGACAGCCTGATCGGCCACCTCCTGCGCGTCCAGGGCGGCCTGCCGCGCCTTCTGGGCCGCCGCGGACCGCGTGCGCAGGGAGTCCACCGCCGACTGCAGCCTGCGCTCGAGCGGCCGGGCAGCCCGCTCTGCTTCCACAATGGCTGCCGCCTCCGCCTCCAACTGCACCACGGTGGCGGCGCACTCCGGGAACGGCTGGAAGGCGGCGATGCGGGCCCGTAGGCCTGCGAGGCGCTCCGCAGCCGTCGGCGCCGCTGCCGGAGCGGGGTCGCGAGGGGCTTCCGCCGACTGCGGCCCTGCCGCCGCCGCCTGAGCCGCGCCTGGGGGTGCCCCCGCGGCACCCGCCACCTGCGCCCAGGTCCGCCCAGCAGCAGCCGCCGGAGGAGGGCGCGCCGCTCCGGGGGGCGGCGTGTTCCCTACGGCAGCGCGCGGGCCACGGCGGCCACATGCACGGCAGGCAGTCCGACAAGCCCAATTGTCGGCAACCCCGCAGGAGCAGCCCCACAGAGGCAGCCGCGGGCCCTCCGGAGCCTTGCGTTCCTGCCCCTGCTTCTGCTGCTTCTGCTGCTGCCGCTGCTGCCTCTGCTGCCCCCCGCCGCCCCCCAGCCCAGGCATCCCAGCAGCCCGGCATGCGGCCAGCAGCGCCTTCCCCAGCTGCGGCGACACGGCGGGGCCGCCCCCAGCCGGCGGCTTGCCGCGGCGGCCGCCCGGCATGCGGCCTCGCGCGCGGATTACCCTACGCGCGGGCCGGGGGGGCGGCGCCACTGAGCCAGACAGGCAACGGGGCTCGCACCCCCTTTGGACCCCAGACGGGGTCCAAGTGAGGCTTGAGCCAAAATGGCTACGGACGACTGGGGATGAACACATGGTCCAGGTGAAGTGGTCGAGGGGCCATGGGCCCACATCCTGAAAAATTGGTAAATGTCGACGCTGGATATCATCATGGGGAGGTATCCATATCGCTACCCTTGCCTCGTTCTCGCCTGTTTGGGCCTCCTGGGAGGCCCTCGCAACGGCTGCCTTCGCCTCGAGATTTTTGGCAGAACGCGCCCCTGGGGAGGTCCAGGGAGTGGGGGCCTCGAGACCTGCTCGTTCCCCCGCGTTCGATCCACCGGCGCTGGCCAGAGCCAGCCAGAGCTGGCCGCGGCGATCCGGTTTCGATTCGTTGCTGGACGATTTGCTGGATATCCGATCCGATTCCGCGATGCGGTCCAGCTCAGGCCTGCTGGCCCACTAGGGCGGGGGGCGCGCAGCAGGCACTCAGCAGGCAGCTGAAGGTCGCCTTCTTCCGCGGCGCGGAGGGGCCCGACAAGGTGCGGCGCCTCGGCGAGCGGGGAGGAGAAGGAGTAGGAGCAGGAGGAGGAGAAGGAGTTGGAGGGGTGTCTTGTGGTCGTGGTGATCGTTGTTGTTTTGTCGTAAGTGTTGTTGTTGTTGTTGTTGTTGATGTCGTCGTCGTCATCGTCGAAATCGCCATGGTCGTCGTGCTCTTTTTTATTATAGCGGTAGTCGCTGTCGGCGTGTGGTCGTAGCTATGATTGTTGTCGTGACAGTCGCAGTCGTCGTCACTAGTATTGCGAAGGCCCTGCGGCCCATGCCGCCGACCCTGAAGACGACGCCGTTGACCACGACGAGGTAGAAGGAGGAGGATGAGGAGGAGGAGCAGGCGGAAGACGACGCCCACGCGATGGAGAGGCGACAAAAAAGAGGGAGCAGGAGGGGAGGAGCAGGAGGAGGTTGGCGATCAAGTGGAGGAGAATGGGAATGTGACGGCAGAGGTTGGAGGGGGGCTGAGCACCGGGGGGTTAGTGCAGGGGGACGTGGAAAGGAGAAAGATGACGGGGTTGGGTCTAGGATAGTGCGGAATAGGACCAGGAGGGGGATATGGAGGAGAAATATTTGGAGAAGTGGGCGACTTCGGGTGAGGGCCCTCTTGGACGCTCTCGGAGACCTCTTCGGGCACTCTGGGCTTGTTTTGGAATTTTTCCCAGCGAGGATGCGCACCTGATGGGGAAGCGATCAAAGGGTAGGGGCTTCCCCTTGGCTCGATTACGACATTGCTAGGTTTTTCTGTCGCTGACAGGCTTGACCGATGTCAGGGTCGGCGAATGTCGGTTAAGCGCTAGAAGGGTTTGGGCTTCCGGAGCGGCACCAACGGAACCCGACTCGAACGGAGAAACCCCTCACACGCGCCGACAGAGTCGGCGGATTCATAATCGTTGCGATCGTCGTCATTGTCGTTGTCGCCCTTCCGGTTGCTCACGGGGCGGTTCTGGAGGCTCTCGTCGCCGCGGCCGCTCGCAGCTCGAACATTTTTCTACGGTTGTCCCTGAGCTGAGGTCAAACGGATTTTCCTGATTGGATACCAGTCGGAGGATCGAGGTTCCAGGCTCGAGGTTCGCAGCGTGGCTAACAGGGCGTTATCCGAGAGGTTGCGCCATTCCACTGGGTGGTCGTCGCTGGTGCAGCTAATAGCTCACAGGCGCGCCTCGGTGCTCGCAAGCTACTGGGGTGCCCGCAGAACTGCGATCGTGTTCTCGCAGTTGTTCGCCCGTATCGCGCGTGCTGACAGGCACCACTGTTGCCCGCCCTTTGCTTCGGGCCAAGGGGCGCCCAGACTCTGCGCAGAACCCATTCTCACAACAGAAGTGTTTTTAACGCAGGGGTTGTAGTGTCCGCAAGCGCTGTGGTGCACCGGCGCGTTGCGATGTGCGCAGGCGCTGCGGTGAACGCGGTGACTGTGGTGCACACAGGCGCTGTGGTGCACGCGCGCACTTTGGTGCACGCGCGCAGCACGCATCGGAAACAGGCAGCGCTGTACAGATGTGAAGCAATGCTCGTGCTATGCGTCGGGTCTAGAGGTGGTAGAATGAGAGTGCTGTAGCATCCTCTACAGTGCAACGAAGATGCAACACAGCGGCAGCAAACACCAACACAAAATCATGTTGGAATGAGAGTGTGAAGGATGCAAACATTGTGGTGCTTCACGATGGTGCACGTATGCGCTGCGCAGTACATAGGCAATGTGGTGCACGTGGCTGCGGCGGTGCGTGCTGTGCTGCGCATTCTGGTGCTTGCTGTGATGCGCACAGGCGCTGTGGTGCCGGAGCCACACGGCGGGGTGGGGGCGTTACCTTATGCCGCCCCATAACGCGCGTTACGGCCGCGAACATTAGAACACGCTCAAACTGACCCAGCCGAGACCTCGCGGCACCCTGGGGGGCTGCGAAGTGCGCAATTGTCGGCAATTTCGTGGGTTCCTGGGATGCCCTGTGGACTGGAGTTGTAAACAGACTCAGCCGAGTCCTCGCTGCACATTGGGGTTGCGAAGTGCGCAGCGGTCGCCAATTTCGTGGACTTCTGGGAGGTCCACCGGGATGGAATTGTAAGCGCACCCAGCCGAGATCTCGCGGCTCCGTAGGGGGGTTGTGATTGGCGCAATTGTCGTCACATTCGCAGGTGTCTGGGAGGCCCAGCAAAGTGTAGTTGTAAACAGACCCAGCCGAGGCCTCGCGGCACCCTGGCTGCGAAGTGCATAATTGTCGGCAGTTTCTTGGGGTCCAGGGAGGTCCAGCGTAGTGGAGTTGTAAACACACCCAGCCGAGACCCCGCGGCACCTTGGGAGGCTGCGAAGTGCGCGACGGTCGCCAATTTCGGGGGCTCCAGGGAGGCCCAGCGGAGTGGAGAATAGACCCAGCCGAGACCTCGCGGCACCCTGGGGGGCTGCGAAGTGAGACATTGCCGCCGATTTCGTGGGCGCCTGGGAAGCCCAGCGGAGTGGAGTTGTAAGCAGACCTAGCTGGGACCACGCGGCATCTCGGGGGGATGCGAAGTGCTCTTGTCGGCAAGTTCGTGGGTTCCTGGGAGGCTCATCTGAGTGCAGTTGTACACACATTCAGCCGAGACCCGAGACCTCGCGGCACCCGGGCGTGGCTGCAAAGTGCGACATGGTCGTCGATTTCGTGTGTGTTTTGGGCGGCCCAGCGGAGGAGAGAGGTGGCCTCTTGAGGGGCCTCCTGGGGGCCTCCTAGCGGCCTCTTGGGGCGGAAGGCTCGAGCTTGCGGTTCGTGGTCCCCCTCTGGGCCCCCTCTTGGGCCCGTCTTGGGGCCCTCTTGGGCCATCTTGGGCGCCTCTTGGGCCGTCTTGGGGCCCTCTTGGGCTGTCCTGGGGCCCTCTTGGAAGCTTCTTGGGCCGTCTTGGGGCGGTCTTGGGCGCCTCTTGGGCCGTCCTGTAACGTCGGAAAGCCCAAAAGGCGACTTTGTTGAAAATGTACGTTTTACGAAGGGAATGGGTCAATTTTTGCGTCTAGGGGCCCTCTTGGGACGCATGTTGGAGGCTTCTTGGGGCCTCTTGGGGGCGTCCTTGGACGTCTGGGGTCTCCTGGGGCCTCTTGAGGGGCCTCCTGGGGGCCTCCTGGCGGCCTCTTGGGGCGGAAGGCTCGAGCTTGCGGTTCGTGGTCCCCCTCTGGGCCCCCTCTTGGGCCCGTCTTGGGGCCCTCTTGGGCCATCTTGGGCGCCTCTTGGGCCGTCTTGGGGCCCTCTTGGGCTGTCCTGGGGCCCTCTGGGAAGCTTCTTGGGCCGTCTTGGGGCGGTCTTGGGCGCCTCTTGGGCCGTCCTGTAACGTCGGAAAGCCCAAAAGACAAAAAAATGTACGTTTTACGAAGGGAATGGGCCAATTTTTGCGTCTAGGGGCCCTCTTGGGACGCATTTTGGAGGCTTCTTGGGGCCTCTTGGGGGCGTCCTTGGACGTCTGGAGGCCATCTTCAGCATCTCGGAGCCCTCTTGGAGGCCTCTTGGAAGTTTCTTGGGCCGTCTTGGGCGCTCCTGGGGCCGTCTTGTCTGACCAGGGAGGCCTCCGGCAAGCCCCGACGAGCCTCCGGGCCCCCCGGAGCCCACATTTGTGGTCGAGGTCCCGGCCCCGTGCCCCCGGACCCGGTGCGCCGTTATATGTATAATACATATACACATCTGTATATACACTTGCCATTCGTTTGGAAAGGGTTGGGTACGCCACCGGGTAAGTTCCATTCAGGTTGGGGAGGTGGAGAGGGGGCGGGGGGGGGGCGGGTTGCGACGAACTGCGAGACTGTTGGGGTACGAATCCTCTCAGTGATGAGCGGCACGCCGATCGCATACGAGTTGCGGTCGCGAGGGAAAGATAACCCACAGAAGGGGTAGGTGAGGGGGCAGGGGGGTAATTAGGAGAGGAGGGGGCAGAGGGGGCGAGGGGGGGAATGGGCAAGGATTTTATCGGTTCAGGCGGATGAGGAAGGACAGACAAGGAGGGCGAGGAGGTTGAGGAGGAGGAGGAGGAGGAGGAGGAGGGGGGGGTATTTGAGAGGAAGATGGGGGAAGGGGTGGGCAGAGCAGGAATCGGAAAGGTGAGGGGGTGGAAGGGGGAGGGAGCCGGGGTGAGGGGAGCGGGATGGTCATGAGGGCAGGATGGCGGCGGCGGCGCCCTGCGCAGGCGCAGAAGGCCGAGCGGGACCAGGCGGCCGTCGACAAGCTGCGCCTTCGCCCGCCGCGCCCGCCCCCAGGGGTCGTCGTCGCGGTCGCCGTTGTCGCTGTCGTCGCCGCCCCCGCATTCGCAGTCTTGTTCAGTTGATGGGGGGAGAGAGGAAGGGGGATGCGACGGTGGAGGAGGAGGGGATGGAGGAGGAGAGGGAGGTCCACTTTCCTCCTTTTTGCATCATTCCTTTCCTCCTCCTCCTCCTCCTCCTCCTTCCTCCTCCTTCTCCCTCCTCCTCCTCCTCCTCCTCCCCCTCCTCCTCCTCCTCCTCCTCCTCCTCCTCCTCCTCCTCCTCCTCCTCCTCCCCCTCCCCCTCCCCCTCCCCCTCCCCCGCCCCTTGTCTCTCCTTCTTCCTGGCCGCGTTTCCTTACCTCCTGCTCATCCTGCTCCCTCCAATCCCCTCCTCATCCTCATGTTGTTCCCGCGGTTGCTGGCCAAAGAGCGCAACGTGTAGCGCGAGCTCGCGCGCAGGGTCTGCGCCGCGGCGGTCTCCGCTGCGGGGCCTTTTGGTCAGGGGCTAGTATCCGTGCTTCAACAAGCTGCTGTTCGGCGCCTTTTCTTGGTGGTGAGAGAACTCGACATCATCCCGAACGTAGTTTACGTAGGATAGGGCGACTCGCCGGCTCTTGGAGACAGGGCAGCTAGCGCCAGACGCTGCGGGCGCCTTGCGGACGGTGATTTCTGGCAATGTGATCACGGAGTCCGTAGCAACCAAGGGGGGGAGGCCGCAGGTGTGCCCCCACTGCGGGGCTGCAGTCGAGGATCTCGAACACAGGCTGTGGGCGTGCCCGCGATGGCAAGCGACGCGCCACGCGGCTTTCGCGACGAGCGGCTTCACCCCAGCCGCTGCGCGCTTGCTTGCCAGCCGAAACAGCGAGGACAGCGGTACTCCCCCTGGACGCCCGCCCGGCCGCGCTGGCCGCCGTGGCCCAGCAGGCGCCCCCCTTGCCGCCGCTTCCTGACCCCGCCGCGGAGGAGCTGCCGCACGGGCGGGCCCGCGCCTGGACCGACGGTTTTTGCTTGCACCCAGGGGACCCCCTGCTCGCCCGCGCAGGATGGGGCGCGAGGTTGGAGGGGCGTCCCGTCGGGCGCATCGAACGCCGCGGCCAGGCTGACGGGCGGCAGACCGCGCAGCGTGCCGAGCTGTGGGCCCCGGTGCAGGCGTGCAGCCTTTTTTCAGGGCCCCCCCTCGACGTCGTCACGGATTCCCGATTCGTGAGTCGCGGGGTCGCCGCGCTTCGGGGCGGCGCGAGGGCGACGAACTGGCCGCGCGCTGACCTTTGGGAAGCAGTCGCGCCGCACTGCCGCAACGGGCTGCTGCGGGCCTGCTGGGTCAAGTGCCACTTGGACCAGGCGGAAGCCGCCGCTCGCGGAAGCGCCGAGGCGGACTGGGCTGGAAACGCAGCTGCGGACAGGCTCGCCGGCTGGGGCGCGGGCCCAGCTCCCGCCCCTCGACCTGCGCCAGCAGCGGGCGCAGCAGCTGGACGCGCTCGAAGCGCTCCAGCGCGCGGCGGCGGCGGTGGAACTGGCCGCTCTCAAAGCGAACCACGGCCCCCGCCCAGGCGGGCCAAGGGTGCGGCGACGCTGGGCCGCGCAAGGGCAACGCCAGAGGCGCGCTCCCTGCGTCGGGGACGCAGCCGCCGTGGCTGCGGCCGCGGCGCCGCCGCCGCAGCGCGGGATGGCTGCCCCCCCAGCGTCCGCGGCGGCGCCGCGCCAAGGGGCAGCCGCGGCGGTGCGGAACCTCTTCGCATGCCGAGCCTGGCTGGCGCACGCGGCGTCCCAGGGCCCCGCCTGGGTCGCCTGCATGCGCTGCGGGTGCTGGCCGCCGACGTGGCCGCGCGCCCTGGCCCGCCTGACTGAGGCGGGCGGCGCTGGGCGGGCGCAGACGCTGCTCCCTCGCCGCCCCTTTCCCCCCTGTCGTCGTCGTCGTCGTCCGTCGTCTTCCCCCTCTCGCCGCTGGGCTCCGCTGCGATGGCAAAACAAAGTGTTTTGTGGTCGCTTGGGGGGGGAGGATGGGACCGGACCCCCCCCCTGGATGGAGGGGGGATTCGAAGCCCCCCCACACCTTTCCTCCCCTACTTCTCCTCTCTCCCTCTCCTCGGCGTCGGCGGCAGCTGGCGGCGGCGGCTGGCGGCGGCGGCGGCTGGGCCGGCGCCGGCGCTTGCGGAGCGTCGACGAGGACGACGGTGGTGGTGGTGGTGGTGGTGGGTTGTGGTGGTGGTGGTGGTGGTGGCGGTGGTTGTGATTGTGGTGGTGGTGGTGGTGGTGGTGGTGGTGGTGGTGGTGGTGGTGGTTTGTTGTGGTGGTGGTGGGTGTGGTTGTGGTGGTGGTTTGGTGGTGGTGTGGTGGTGGTTTGTGTTGGTGGTGGTGGTGGTTTGGTGGTGGTGGTGTGGTGGTGCTGCTTGTAGTGGTGGTGGTTGTGGCGGTTGTGGTGGTGGCGTGGTAGATTGAGGTGGTGGTGTTGGTCGTGGTGGTGGTGGTGGTGGGTTTTTGTTGTGGTGGTGATGATGGTGAATTGTGGTGGTGGTAGTTGTGGTGGTGGTGGTGGCTGTGGTGGTGGTGGTGGTGGTGGTGGTGGTGGTGGTTGTGTGGTGGGGTGGTGGTGGTGGTGGTGGTGGTGGTGGTGGTTGTGGTGGTGGGCTGAGGCGGTGGTGGTGGTGGTTCTGGTGGTGGTAGTGGTGGTTATCGTCGCTGCGTCCTCGCCGGCGCCGGCGCCGGCGCCAGCGGGGGTGGGGTTGAACCCCCCCACCCCTCCTGGCGCCTAGGGGGGGGGGTGGGTTTGAACCCCCCCCGCCTCCCTTGGGCTGCTTCTGGTCATCGTCGCTGCGTTCCCGCCGTCGGCGCTGTTGGCGGCCGCCGAAAGCGGGGACGCAGCGACGACGGCGGGGACGTAGCGACGATGACCAGAGGCATCCAGAATCCGCGTGGAAGCGTCCCAGAATCCTCGAAAACGTCTTTCAGAAACCTCTCGTGAGCCTTTTCAGAAAACTTCCAGAATCGTCCCAGCAGCTTGTCATAATCCCCGTAGAAGTCTGTCAGCATCCTCGTATAAGTCTCTCAGAACCTTCGTAGCAGCTTGTTGTAAGCCTCCCAAGAGCCTCCCAGAAGCTTCTCATAAGTTGCTCACCGGCGTCTTTCAAGCTTCATTTTTCTTGTTTGTTTCAGACGCTGTTCAAGGGTTTGCTTCGTAAGCTGCTCATTCGCTTCTTATAAGCTTCTCAAGGGCTTCTCGTCGGCTTCTCAAAAGCTTTTCATAATCTTCTCACAAGCTTCCAGCAGCTTCTGAAGAAGAGCAACGGTTGTATATATTTCGGGCGGTTGAAACTACACTCATTTAGGTTAGGATAAGCACCGACATGGTTGAAATTTCGTTTAGTTGGGTGACATGTCCCCACTTCTGGGGGGAAGCCCGGGGTTTGCCCCCCTGGTGTCCGGAGTTCGCGCGATTTCAAGGGGGGTCCACCAGTTCGCGCACGTGCCGTGCGACTTTTCCAAAGCAAGCGAATTTGAAAAGTGCCCTCTCCATCAAACCGAAGCCTAGGGTCAGCCTGAGCAGGCCCGTCAAGTCTTCGCGGAACGCGAGTCTCTTGGAAGCCTCTTGGAGACATCCAGCTTTTTTGGGGCAGTTTTTTTTGTTCGCCCAGTTGGAGCCGTGTTGGGGGCCTCTTGGGGCTCCTTCGGGAGGGTCCCGTTGGGGCGATTTCGAAGGCAATTTTTCAAGAAGCGCGAAGGCTGTCTTCGGCATCCCCCCTTGGGAGGCTGACGAATCGATTCTTGGGGCCCTCTTGGTGCGCTATTGGGCGCCTCTTCGGCGTTCTTGGGGCCTTATCGGAGGCCCGTTGGGGCCATATTGGGGCTTTTGGGCCATCTTGGGGTCATCTTGGGGTTATTCTCAGGCTTCCCATGCCCATCGGAGACGGAAAGTCGAGGAGGCACAAAACATTGATGTTCTTTAGATGTTGGAAGGATGTTTGCTTCTTGGGAGGGTCCTTGGAGGGCTCTCCGGGAACACCTCTAAGGACCCTTGGAGCCTCTGGGAGGTATGTCGGAGGCTATATTGAACCATGCTCTGGTATCTTGGCCCATTTTGGATGCCATCTTGGGCTACCGTGGGCCCTCTTGGAGCCATTTTGTGCCGTCTTGGGCGCCGGTTAGCGGAAGGGAGGACATACAAATGGAAACGCGCTAGACCACCTGCATCCAGAGGGCTGGTGGAATTACCCGATGCGTACCCGACCCCCGTTTTCCGCGCGAGGCAATGGTTCACATCAGCGAGTCATACAAGCGAACATACGGCGATGTATGCAGCACCCAGAAATGATTTGCCAACCTATGCCAGACCACACGCGTCAAAGTCTCACATGATCCGCTTTGTCCTCACGTCCGCCACGCCTCGCAATAGCCCATGAGAATGACAACGACAGCGCAGTTCGCAGCCCCAAAGGGAGCCGCGAGGGACCACATGACCTGTGTCGCCCTCGCCTCCGCCGCGCCCCCCAGGAGCCCATGCAAGTGGCGACGGTCGTGCAGTTCGCAGCTCCTGAGGGAGCCGTGAGATTCAATGACCCGCGTTGCCCTGACCTCCGCCGTGCAATCCAGGAAGCCACGAAGTGGCAAGCCCCCGAAGGAGCCGTGAGGCTCCAAATGATCCGCATCGTTGCCGTTCCCTCGACCGTGCCTCCCAGGAACCCACACGCGTGGCAACAGTTGAGTAGATCGCAGCCCCGAGCGAGGCGAGAGATGCCAACTTATCAGCCCGTGTCTCCCCCGTGCCTCACAGGAACCCACGAACATGGAGACAGTTGTGCAAAATGAAGTCCCCGAGGAAGCCGTGAGGTCCCAAATGATCCGCGTTGCCCTCACTCCCGCCGTGCCTCTCAGGAATACGATCCAAATGATTCGCGCTGCCCTCCCCTCCGCCGCGCCTTCCAGGACCTCACGAAAGTTGGGACAGTTGCGCAATTCGCAGCCCTCAAGAAAGCCGCGTGGTCTCAAGTGGTTCGTGCTGCACTCATCTCCGCCATGCCTCTCAGGAGCCCACGAACGTGGCGACAAATGCGCAGTACTCACGCGCGGCATATCGGAGTTCGGTGGAATGTACTTACTTCTAACCGTTCTTAGGCATTTCGGACAGTGGAAAGTGCAGGGTCGCAAGCTGGGGCAATTCACGGACATCGAGTTCACGGACTTCCCTAGACAGCTTTCCCAACATTACGCGGGCGTCTCGGGGCGGTGGCTGGACGGCGTTGGTGAGGCAGATGCTTCGCCGCGCTCGCGGACGTCAGAGCGCCAGCTGTCGACCCTGATTGCGCACTACCTGCTCGAAAATGCTTCTCTGAATGGTTCAACGCTTTGCAAGGGCACCCTAAGTGCCGCGTGCCTGTCTCGCGAGATTGGCGCACCACAGTGCTCGACTCTCACAAGCCAGGAGGGCCCAGCAAAGAGCCAGACACATCCGCGGGCCTCGTACTTCAGTGATGTTCTGCATCATAGACGCAGCGGCATGAGCTGGCGTACGCGCCACTCTCTGGCATGAGCTGGCGGACGCGCCAGGTCGCTGCGAAGGTTGGTATTTCGATGGCGACGAGCCTCAGAGTGTCACGCCAAGCTGAGCGGTTTTGCAGAGACAGCTGTGGCAGCAGACAGACAGTTCCACCGTTTGCGGAGGAGCTATGGAAGGTGGTGCCGGCAGTTTCATGTTGAGGGAGCAGCTTGTTCAGCTGCAGCATGTCCCAGGCTACGGTGGTAGGCTAGTGCAAATATTGCTGACCATCGCGGTCGGTCGCGCTCACCCAGCTTCGCGCAAGGCCGAAGTTGGACATGTAACATTTGATGTGTGCGATTTTTCTCGCCAAGGGCCTGAGACCCCGAAACGCAGGGTTTGGGGCTGCAGTCACAGTGCAGGTTTTCCAGTCTACACACTATTCCAGGGCTTGCGACACATAGCCTTGACCCAGTGCGACAGCCTTGAAGGCTATTGGCATCGCGGGCTCATCATTTCTCACCTCTCTGCTGCCAGTCCACCACGCAGCGAGGATAACCAGATATCCAGCCACACGAATGATTTCGAATGGTTCTCTTTCGGTGGAGGGGCGCTTCCGTGTTTTCTCTCTATCTTCAACCCGGCGCCTCAGGCGGACTCGATACACGTGATCTTCGATTTCGCCGCGGACGGTTAGCAGCGTCGGCAGTCTGCCCTCAGCCCCGTGTAGATTCTCATTGTCCCCCTGCCAGATGCTTGGCAAATGGTCCCACGCGGGGACTTGCTGGCCCTCGTGGTAGGCGTGTAGGGGCCTCGCGGTTGCGTGGTTATCGTAACTGGTAACGACAGGGTGTGCCGCGGTTGGTGGATCGGACTAATTTTCGGGGTTGCTCGTGCCAATTCTGATTTGCTGCAGGTGATTGGGCTCACCCTCGAGCAACAAGATAGGAGGTAGGCACCACTCTTGCACTGCTGTCATCAAGATGCTTCCCAAATGCATCCTCGCGTCTCTGGCAGCGAAGTCGCGGAGCGAGGCCTCGAAGGCTTCTCCATATTTTACGCAAGACAACAGTGGGCAGTTTGTGTTTACGCCGGATCATAAGTGCATGCATGCTTATATGGGCACGCTGCTTTTCTGTTGCTGCCTACGCGTTCGTAAGGCATGCAAGGCCGTAGTCAGGCAGATGTTTTTCTTGAGGTGAACATGGCGACGATGCGTTCGACGGATAGCATCGGCGCCGCCGAACGGACGGCGTAACGTTTTGGTTGGTCACCTGGCAGGGGTTGCTACCGCAGGTGCTCGTGTGCACGAAGCTCAGACGACGCAAGTGCTGTAGGTCGGGCATAAGGCACGCTTCCTCAGACAAGGCTTGCTTTGAGCCAGCTGCGATGCTGCAGCTAGCAAAGGAAACGCAGTCGCGCTCTCGTTGTGCTCGTTCGCGCTCGCCCGCCTGCCCCGCCCACGGTGGCCCTGGACCCTGTTTGCTTCGTTCACGCATTGGTTGATTGCGCCAAGAAGTGTCTCGCGTGCAAGGGTCGGCGGCGGGCGCGGGGGGGGAAATGAGAAGGGGCGGGATCTCCGAGGCTTCTGAGAAGTTTCTGGACTCCTTAGAGGGCTTCTGAGAAGTTCTGTCTGTATTCGAAATAGGCCAAGGAAACGTCTCAGAAGCCCCCCTGACTTCTAAGAAGTCCCGCTGCCTTCTGAGAAGGCCTTCTCCTTCTCATTTCCCCCCCTGGGCTCGTCGCCTAAAGGGTACCACGACTGGCGCTGAAGGCGGAGAGATTCAATTGTGAGCCTTTCCGAGTAAAACGGGGTTCCGATCATGTCCCCGGGGTTCCCCAAGGGCGGCGTTTACATCTCACTGGGGGGCCCCTCGTCTCACAGCATGTGGTATAGCGAGTCCTTGACCTTTTGTTTTGCGCGCCCAGTGGGTGCGATGGCCCGCAACAACAGTGGAGCATATCCCACGACTGCTCCACCCGCTTTTTTTAATGCAGGACCAGTCGGGGTTATCTAGATCGGATTTCCATTGGCCGCATGCGCAACGTGTGCAGCGAGGCGGACAGGTCTCGTTCTAATGTATTGTGAATTTTCTTGGCAACGAGTCTTAACGTATCTTTGTTTCCTGCTCATCCTCGTGCTCATCCGCCACCTCCTCGTGCCCACCTTCTACGTCCGCGGCACCCTTGTGTCCCGATTGCTCATGACATGGTGGTGTTCTTTCTGGGGCATGGCAGGTCCACTATGGCACGCGTCCGCATATGGAGAATGATCAGCGGAATGGGAAGGAACGGGTGGGAGGGGTAGGTTTTCAGATATGTCGCGAGAGCAGTTAGCTTGTCTCTACCACCCCTCGCCTTCCTCCTCCCCCTCCTTCGGAGCAAGGCGGAACAGGCAAACAACGTGGTCGAGGACGTCGACGACGGCGGTTGCCGTTGGCGGAGGCAGCAGTGGTGCGTTGACTCGCTGAAGCTCGTGAAGCCGCCGAGCGACCCGCTGTCCGCCCCTAAG